TGGAACTAGCTCTTGTAGACCAGGCTGGCCTCGAACTCACAGAGATCTGCCTGCCTCTACCTCCCGAGTGCTGGGATTAAAGGCACGCACCACCACCACCCGGCCCAGATTGTATATTCTAGCATGTGTGTGGTAAGGATGGAACTCAGTGCCTCAGATATGTTAGGCAAATCCCAATTTCTAGAATAGAGATATAAAAATAATTTATTAGAATTTACCTCATCTAATAATATGACTAATACATCTAAGTCTTTTTTTTTTTTAAGGAGTAGACACTTTGCAGAGATTCTAGTACAGTCACATGTGTTCTGTTGTAGGTATCTTTTTAATGATGCTGAGGTAAAACCTTTTGATTCTGCTCAACTTGCCTCTGAATGCTTTGGTGGTGAGATGACGGTAAGTTTGATTTAGTAATTGTAACTGGTTTATGAGTTTGCAGTTATCATAAAATGAAGTAGCAGACTCACTTTACATCATTATACCTGCTTTAATTCAATCTAAGATTTATTTGTTATGTTTTTACTGTATATATCAGATACTAAGAAATATTTAAATTTATTATTTCTGCCTTCAACCATAGTTTTATAAAGAAGGTAAGATGAAAAGATTAAATCATAAGCCAGAAATTGAATTACAGTGATAGAATAATTAGGTTAAACATACTAGGTATTCAAAAAGTCCATGGTATTAGAGCGAAAAGAATTTGCCCTTTACTGACATAATCTGGAAAATCTTTTGGTTTTTTTTGTTTGTTTGTGTTTTGTTGGTTTTGTTTTTTTTTTAGATTTTTTAGAGACAGGATTTCTCTGTGTAGCTTTGGAGCCTGACCAGGCAGGTCTCGAACTCACGGAGATCTACTCGCCTCTGCCTCTCAATTGCCAGGGTTGCTGGGCAGTGAAGAAACAATTATTTCAAATTATTGGAAATCAACTTCTGTGTGTAAGATTTTCCAGACTATAAACCAGGCGGTGGTGGTGCACGCCTTTAATCCCAGCACTTGAGAGATAAACCAATTATTTCTCTTCTGATATTTTTGTTTAACATCTTTTTCATGTATATAATGACATGTATATACTTTATGTATATACTGCATGTCCATTTCATATTCAGAAAGTTATAGCTTTGAGGCTCAAACTTGATTTTCAAAGTAATTTGATAAGTATTTTGGGAAAAAAAAATTAAGTTTGAGGGTCATTTTATTTGGTTTTGAGAAATTATATAGCAGGCAAGCAATGGCAATTTTGGTATCTGCAAGAAGGAAGGCAGAGATGACAAAGTCATCTTCTGAGCCGTTTTGAATTTGTGTCAGCAGCGGACATCTGCAAACAGCCATGAAAACAGGGAATGGGGAAATGTTCAGAGAAAACAATATCAGGGCCAGCATTCTTAACACTTTGACTAATATTTAAAGAAGAGATACAAAGGAGAAAAGGTATTTTTTGATCAAAAATATTTTTGGCTATCATATTCATAATTATATTTGGTACTTATTTCCATTTAACATATTCAGAAAAAAATAGGCACATACTACCTGTCTTCTTGCTATGTTTTCACTTGTTTTGTTTTATTGTTGTTACAACAACATTCTTCATCACAGTTTTGTGGTATTCAGCATCTTAAAAGACATATACAATCATGTTAGAATATGCCAGCTAAATTTGTGCAGTGCATAGAACTCTTTTTGGATGGCTGTGGTGGACCAAACCATGACTTTGTATGTGCTAGGCAACTGCTTTAATACTGCGTTGGTATCTGTACCTCCAGGTGAATGGTTTTGTTAGTGTGTGTGTGTGTTACTGGTTATTAAGAGGGCCTTGTACATGTTAAACAAGTTCTCTAACACTGAATTACATCCCCATCCCACGTACATAGGATTTATATGAATTCATTGTTATTTTAAAGTTATTTGCAAGATTACTTTGAAGTATTACATAGGTGTTTACAAAATAATGTATGTATAAATCTTTCTAAGTGATTTTTTTTTTCACAGACAAAAACCTATGATTCGGTTACAGATAAATTTATGGATTTCTCCTTTGAGAAGGTGATCATCTTTTTTCATATGGAATAATTTAATGCTGCATATTATCCAATTTTAAATTATAATTTGTTAAAAATTAAAATGTTTTTCTTTTGCTTCATAAAGACACATAGTGCATATATGCTGTTTTACAAACGCATGGAACCAGAGGAAGAAAATGGCAGAGAATACAAATTTGATGTTTCATCAGAGTTACTAGAGGTAAAAATTAATTTGGTTTTTAGCAACAGTTTAAATTGTGTTAGGTGTTTATGCAATAGATACTTCGATATGAAAACAAGCATCAACATTAATATCTGCAATCCCAGTTAGATCTTATATTTACAAAAAAGTCAAGGCAATACTGACTTATGATTGAATGAAAAAGTATATATGAGGTACTAGAAGAAATGGCTCAGCAGTTAAGACTGCTTTCTGCTCTTGCCAACGATCCACCATCCTTGACAAGGAGCTCACAGCCAGCAGTGACTGAAACTCCATGGGTTCCAACACCTTCTTCTGGACTCTGAAGGTATCTGGACTTGTACGTTCACACTGCCTCCAAACGTACTTACACACACATACATACACACACTCACACTCATAACAGACACTCCAGCCCCTCAAATTTTCTTAAGCAAAACAGTGTTTATTGGTGTATTTAGTAATTGAAAGAAGACATTTTGCTGTGATGTTTAGTGAGTTGAGGAAGAAACTTGAACATGAGATTAAATAATTATTTATTAAAAACTATTAGGGAAGTTTTGAAAAATTCAGTTTTAATATTGAAGCAGACAGTTAAACATGGTTTACTGATGAAGTACAAAAAGGACCATCAAGGAAATAAGGTTATGAAGCAGAAATACAAGCACTGACTATTTTGGATCTAGGAGACATACTAGGCTTATGTCCAGAGCATAGAATTATGACAGAGAGCCTGGCTCTTTCTAGATAACTAGAAATAAAAATGGATCTAGAAAGAAATTTGAAATGGGACTTTGTTGCTGTTAAGGCTTTTAATAAGACAGGTATGTCATGACTCTTTATTTAGCTTTGTAGACTTCTTAGCATTGTAGGGTCTAGAGACGCTCAAAGCCTATGAAGTACTAGGTATTCACTGAGCAAACCTGAACAAAAGCCCTAAGAAAACAGGCTTGGAAGGCGGTTAGAGATAGTTGAATAGTGGAGAATTAATGACACTGTCAGTTCAGACTGAGCCTACCCACCAACACTAAGGAGGATGTGCAGAGGATTGCTGTGATTCTAAGGCTTACTACAGTTTCAGATCGTATCTAAAATATTAAAACCAGAAAAGAAAATGAGCATACCATCTTTAGTTTCAAGATACTTAGAGAAGCACATGGCTAAAAAAGACAGCTAGTAAGAGAAATATTTCAAACAGAAGTTTGCTTTATATAATTTTGTGAGGCTGAGGGCATGAGCTCAGTGGTAAAACACATGTATAGGATGCACAAGGCTCCTACCACCAAAATAGACTGTTAGTGTGGAGCTGTCTGACAAAGGCCGGAAGCATTCTTAGAGTTTCTAAGGAATAAGGGTATGCAAAAATAGCAGCATTATTCTACTTGGCTTCATATCAGAAATAGGTGTTTGTTCTTAATGTCTAAATTTTACCACAGACTTCCCGAGACAGGGTTTTTCTGTGTAGCTCTGGCTGTCCTGGAACTGGCCTTCAGCTCACAGAAATCTGCCTGCCTTTGCCTCCCGAGTACTGGGATTAAGGACATATGCCATCACTGCTCTGTTACTATCAAATTTAAACATTGCTTGCTCTTTTTTTGAGACAGGGTTTCTCTGTAGCTTTGGAACATGTCTTTGCCTCCTAAGTGCTGGGATTAAAGTCATGTGCTACTACCGCCTGGCCATTGCTTGCTCTGAAAACCTATCTTTGTCAAAATGTGGCATGACGTATGTTTTCTTACTTTTATGTATTTCAGAGCTCATACTTCTAAGTCCTTATAAATAATGTTAAAAACCTGTGATCACAGACATGGTCAAACAAATAACAGCATTTTAAAGGGCAGGTTTTGGGGCTAGAGCAATGGCTTAGTGGTTAAGAACACTTTTTACTGTGAGTTTAAGGCCAGCCCGGTCCACAAAGTGAGTACCAGGACAGCAGTGGCAATTACACAGAGAAACCCTGTCTTGAGAAACTAAAAAACAAAACAAAACACACTTGTTCTTACAGAGGATCTGGATTTGGCTTTCAACACCCTCTATTGGCATCCATGAGCAAGAAGGACACAAATGGTGTACATATATGCATGCGTATAAACACGAACAAAATAGAATAAAAAAATTTTATAAAGGGTGTTAGTTTTAGGAACCACCCTAAGATTTTTTTTAAAGTATTTTTATGTGTGTATTTTGCCTGCATTTATGTATGGTGCCTACGGAGGTCAGGAAGAATTGGCTTTACCAGAACTGGATTTATGAATATCAGCCACCAGGTTCCTCAAAAGAACAACAAATGTTGTCAATGGCTGAGCTATCTCTCAAACCCTAGAAAGTCAACATGAATTTTATTTTATTTTTTTTATTTTTTTTAGTTTTTCGAGACAGGGTTTCTCTGTAGCTTTGGAGCCAGTCCTGGCACTAGCTCTTGTAGACCAGGCTGGCCTCTGCCTCCTGAGTGCTGGGATTAAAGGCGTGCACCACCACCGCCCGGCTCAACGTGAATTTTAAATCCATATTTTTTGTTTGTTACCTTTGTGGATTTTTGGATTATATTGTTTCTTGTTATTAAATTAAAATATTAAAATACATTTAATAAACTGCTTTCTGATAAATGCTAACTTTTTTTTCCTCCAGTGGATTTGGCATGATAACATGCAATTTTTACAAGACAAAAACATTTTTGAACACACTTACTTTGGGTAAGTTTGGATAAATTTTGTCTTCTTTTTTTCTATTTCTAAAGAAAGTCTTCTGTAAGAATTTAAGTAGCACATTTTTAAATTCCAGGTTCATGTGGCAGCTGTGCAGTTGTATTCCAAGTACATTACCAGATCCTAAAGCTGTGTCCCTAATGACAGCAAAGGTGATGATAAACTTAAGATAACTTTGTTAGATTTATTGCTTTGTAGTAATAGACTTTCTTGCTTAATTGAATTTTTTTTTTTACAGTTAAGTACTTCTTTTGTTTTAGAGACATTTATTCATTCAAAAGAGAAGGTATGTGTTTTTGTTCTATGGATTTTTATGTCCATTACATTTTAAATTATGTTTGGTGTTTATTATCATTGGTTAAAATCTTGGCTTTTTTCTTTTCCCTTTTTAGCCAACAATGCTTCAGTGGATTGAACTACTGACCAAACAGTTTAATAATAGTCAAGCAGCCTGTGAGGTACGATGACAACAAACATTGCACAGTTTAAAAATCTCTTGATAAGGAATTTTCTTTTTTGTTCTTTTTAATTTTAATTGAGATGATGCAGGAAACTTGTTTTTATCTGTTGTGAATCTTGAGCACTCCTTGTAAATTGTTCCTAATATTTGTCCCTTAGAAAGTTATAGCTTATATTTCAAATCTGTTATAAAGACTGAGTATTAATTCATTTTTATAGTCTTTGATTTTCCCTTTTAGTGTTGCATAAATATAAAGATAATTTTATTCTGGGCGTGATTGTCCACAACAGTAATCCCAGCACACAGCTGGGAAAAACAGGACAATAATCATGAGTTAAGTCTGGTCTGCACCCTGTCTGTCCGTCCGTCCATCCATCCATCCATCCATCCATCCATCCATCCATCCATCTATCTATCTATCTATCTATCTATCTATCGAGTTCAGCGTTTACATGAGTTACATCATAAGACTGCCTCTCTTTTTCTGCCTTCGCTGTACTGGGGTTATAGGTATACACCACCATGCCTGGCTGATGATTGTGTTTTGAATTCTGGGCCTAACATGCTATACATATGTTCTGAGCTAAACTCTCATCCCCAGATAGTCTTTTTACCCTTTTTGGTCTTAATTCAATTTGTACCCCCTATCTTGGAGGTATAATTGATAAATACAAAGTGTACACAATTAAAATGTAAAATACAGTGGTTTATGATACATATGTACATTGTAAAATATTTACCACAATCAAATAAATAAATTGATGACCATGTAGATAATATTTGTGTTATGTATGAATGAAAATACTTTAGGTATGCTTTCAGCAAGTTCAAGTAAACAATTCAGTGTTAATAACCCATTATCTGTACTGTATGTAGTGCCCCTAGAATTTATTTCTTCTATAACCAGAACTTTGCTCACTTGAGCCGAAACCATTCCATTTTTTTCTACCCCTCACTTAACTTTTTTGTTTATTTGATTGATTGGTTGATTTGTGTTCTTTTGTGTATCTTTTGCTGGCTTAGAACTAAAGGCAATCATCTTCTCTTCATTTCCTGAATACTGGAATTATAGTTGCTTCCCACCACACTGAGCCCTTAACTACTTTGAATTTTAATATAAAATAACATATTTAGGAGCTAGCAAGATGGCTAATGGCACTTGCTGCACAAGCCTCAGGACCTGAATTCAATCCCAAGAAACCACATCAAGATGGAAGGAAAGAACCTTCTCCTGAGCCCATCTGACTCCCACATCTCTGCAAACACACAGCATACACATACATGCAGAATGGTAGTGCACACACAAAAACCCCATATCTGTCCTGGTAGATCAATTTATGCCCACTCTTATTTCCTCACCATTGTATGAAAACTGTGTTCCTAGAGATAATTTACTAATAGCACTGAAGTGCCATCTTAATATAATCTTTGGGGCCGGGGAGAGATGGCTCATCGGGTAGAGAGCACCAACTCCTTTTCTGGAGGAACTGGGTTCAAATCCCACACCCACACAGTAGCTCCTGACTGTCTGTAATTACAAGATCTGACACCTTCACACAGACATACATGCTGGCAAAAAAAAACCCAATGCTTATGAAATATAATAAAAATAAATGATATAATCTTCTGTTAACAACCAAAAAAGTATAAACCTTCCTAGTAATGCAAGGTTTGGTTCTTTTTTAGATATGCGATATAGTGGCATAGTGCATATAAGATGAAATTAGTTGAAGACTTTTGCTTTCTTATATCCTCTGTAGTTTTAGCTTTTATTAGTACAAAAGACAACCTGATTATCAAATTTCAAAAAAAAAAAACATTTTAAGTAAAATATGGGGAAAATTGAAAATGAAAGCATTCCAAAGCTCTTCTCTGATGTCTTCTTTTAGCAGATATGTTTACACATCAAACTCAGAAATCATATCTTTTGTTTTTGGTTGGTTTTGGTTTTTCTAGACAGGGTTTCTCTGTGTAGTCCTAGCTGCCCTGGAACTAGCTCTGCAGACCAGGGTGTCCTCAAGCATAGAGATCCACTGTCATCTACCACCTGAGTGCTGGAATTAAAGGCTTCATATCTTTGATAATTAATATTCAGTATATGTGTCTAACAGATGGGAACTTAAAAATCTCTAATCATAATTCAGTTTCTTTCTTTGATCAGAATTCAGCAGTTTCTTTACTTTCAGCATTACATTTTTCGTGATTAGTTTTCTCTGTTGGCAATGAAGTGTTTTCAGTTGGTTTGACTTTGTGTTCTGACAAGGTCTACATTTTGCTTTTCTCTTAAATCTCCTTTTATCTATCACAGTTACTTTCTCTCCATGCTGCTTTCTATTCCTTTTCTTTAAGTACCTCAGGTTGCCTTCTTGTACAATAATGAATTGACATCTGTGGAGTCCTATAATGAAGCCATCCTTAGTATTTTAGATTTAACATTTTGTAATAATTTAATAAGCAGTTAAAATGATGGAATCATCAAGTAAATATCCTTATGCGGGTTTTGCTTCATTTAATAAGTATTGTGTGGATATTAAATCATGTTCTATTGTTTTACAGTGGTTTTTAGACCGCATGGCTGATGATGACTGGTGGCCGATGCAGATACTAATTAAATGTCCTAATCAAATTGTGAGACAGGTAAGGAAAGATATCTTTAAAAAAGAAGTGGCTTTTAGTTTATTCAAAATTGGCATATAAATGACATTGAAAATAATTTACAAAGCCTTGTCTCCTATCATAGAAGTCATTTGCTTTTGTTTTCATCAGCTCTTTTAACACTAATTGCCAGTATGAAGTGACAGGAACTTTGTCCTTTATATAAGACCAGCTATTACTGCCAGCTTTTCTCATCCTTAAAGAGTCTGCCTAGAATATTGTAGTGACCTACAAAATTACATGAATAGGATAAATTAATTCTTGTGCGAAAAGAATTGCAAAATGGATCTTTTTTTTTTTTTTGCTTAATTCATGAATATTTAAACATTGTTTTATAGTCATGTTTGGTATATCCAAAGATTAATCTGAACTATGCCACTTGACAGTTGTAATTAAGGATAGTTCTTTTGTTATGAGTATTAGCAGTCTTCTTTGTAGTCAGAAAATTTCCTAGTAATGAGCTTTAAATGTATAGTTTTGACAAATGTTATTCTGTAAAATTCACTCAGAAACATCCATCACCTTCAAAAGAATCTCTAGTGGTTTCCTCCTAGTTTGTCCTCATGGTTTCAGCTTCTGCTCTTCATTCCTATGGATTGGCCTGTTTTCAACATTTTCAATTGAGTCATGGTGGTTTTTTGTATTACTGGCCGCTTTGACTTAATCTTCTTAGTATCTGTCAATGTTAAAATGTATGTCTGGAAGTGGATATGCTGACTCCTGCCTCTAATGGTCACAGGAGGCTTAGTTAGGAGGATTGCCATGAGTTTGAGAGCAACCTGGGCTACAGTGCAACTTCTTAACAAACAGAAAAAAGTACCCATACTTCATCTCTTTTCCCCCCACCAGCAAATAGTCCATCAACTACATTGACATATTTTGTTTATCTGTTCATTAGATGAATATTGACTGCATTAGCATTGTCTTTATCAATTCATTGGATGCACATTTGAGATTTCTTTTTGTTTTATTGAGCAGTCTGACCTGGAACTCACTAGGTAGATAGACCAGGCTGACCTGAAACTTGCAGCAGTCCTTGTTTTTCTGCCTACAGAGTGCCAGGGTTATAAGGGTGGGGCACCACATCCAGCTTTATTGCTATTTTCTGACTATTTTGGATGCAGATGTAGCCGTTTGCCTATAAGATTTTGTTTTGTTCTGTATTTTAATTTTGTTCTTCATATCTTTGAAAAATGGGTTGCTAGTAACATTCTTAGATTTAACGTGTTTAGTTTTACCACAGAGGCTGCACCACTGTGTTTCTCTTCACTGTATTCTTCTCCTCATGTGCCCCAGCTGGGAAAGTATCATTATCTATATTCCTGAAACCAATAGTTTGAATTGTCTCTCTTATCATAAAGCTGAATTTTTAAAAATAATTTTCTGGTGCTGAGGAATTGTACCCAGGGCCTGGTGCATAGTGAGATTCACTTCACCTTGAGCTATCCCTGCAGTCTCTGTTATTGCTCAAATAAGGTCTTAATACCTAAAGTACAGAGTGGTTTAAGTGTACGGTTCTCATGCTTTTGCCTCCTGTATCCTAACACTACAGGTGTTTGCCAGCACCTAGACATGCTTCATTTGTAGTGTCTGTTACCTAATGTGAGTTTCTTCTTTAAAGATGTTTCAGCGTTTATGTATCCATGTGATTCAGAGATTGAGACCTGTGCATGCCCATCTCTATCTACAGCCAGGAATGGAAGATGGGTAAGAAGTCCTTTTAGAAAAAAGACTTTTAAATATCTATAAGGTTATATTTGTTTTGTGCTATAAAAAATTTGTCTCCAATAATGCATGTCAAAAAAGGAACACTATTTGTTGAAAATTTCATTAAGTGCCTCTTTAGGATTCTCAACAACTGACTTTTTGTATGGAGTGATGTAGTCTCAGCAGGAACATAACTACTTCCATAATTGAAGTTGGTATTTGTTTCACAAAATTAATGGATGTAAGTTGAAGTTTTAAAGTTTAGAGATTGTTCCCCTATCATGGTGATTAATGCTTTAATCCCAGCATTAGGCAGACGCAGGCTAATCTCTATGAGTTTGTGCCAGCCTGATCTATAAAGCCATTTTCCATACCAGCCAGGGCCACACAACCAGACCTTGTCTCATAAAACAAAAAAGAGTAGTTTCATCCCAGATAGTATCTGTCTGCAGATTTATTGTGTTCTATAAGGTGTATTTGTTTTTGTTTTTGTTTTTGTTTTTTTTCTTCAGGTCAGATGATATGGATGCCTCAGTAGAAGATATTGGTGGTCGTTCATGTGTCACTCGTTTTGTTAGAACTCTGTTGTTAATTATGGAACATGGTGTAAAACCTCACAGCAAACATCTTACAGAGTATTTAGCTTTCCTTTATGAATTTGCCAAGATGGGTGAAGAAGAGGTAAGGCTAATTCTTATTTGTTTGTTTGTTTTTAATTATATACCCTTTTAGCATGTCCAATTCGTTTTTTATTTAAAAATTTAAATCAATTGTTTTTAGAGCCAGTTTCTGCTTTCATTGCAAGCCATATCTACAATGGTTCATTTCTATATGGGAACCAAAGGACCTGAAAATGTAAGTACAGTTTTGTTATTTGTCAGTGCAACAGAGGCCATGCGTCTAGTTGTTCACATCATGCAGAGTCACAGTCCTAGAAACCTCTAAAGTCCCTTCTGTCTTTTTGTTTGTTAACGTTAAGGGTTCTAGATTCATTGGTCTTGGTACTGGTACTTTAGTGCATATACCAAATAGGAAAACAAATTTCATTAGTAGGTGTGGAACATAGTAATAGACTTCATCCTGGTAGCCACAATTTAACCATGGCATCTGTGAAGCCATGTGTTGTTTGCATTCATGGTTTTGGTGGTTGTGCTTCTTTTTTTTTTTTTCTTTTTTTTTTTTTGTTCTTCACTTTTTTTTGTCAGAGTTTTCTGAAAGTTTTAGTAGCTGGCCAATTTAATAATATTAAAGTATGGATGGATTTCGTATTGTCAGCTACATTCTATTGTGACTGCTACATTGGATTGGATTTTGTGACCTACTTGTAATATGTCATTTAATCCTTCTCATATGAAGCTTAGAGAATTTGGCTTGTTTTAGATCACAGTAATTTGGGTTTTGATCTGTGGTCAAACTGCTGCTTCTTAAAGTTCATGAGTTGGTTTTAATCCAGTTCCAGCCTGTATGACTACCTGTTTATACTGTTTTTCTCCTCCCTCCCTCCCTCCCTCCCTCCGTTATCGAGAAATGATCTTGTTATGTATTCTAGACTCACCTCAGATTTATTAATCTCCTGTCTTAGACAATTGACTACTACCATTTCTGATAGCCTTTTGAGTTTCAGAGCTGGAGTGAATTTCTCTCTGAAATATCTGCTACTTTGAATCATCTAGAAACTACAAATTAAGATTCTTTTGTATGTGTGACTGGCATTTTATTCAGTAGGAAATTCTATTATATTCATATTTTTTATATTAGTTAATCATCCAAAGAGGTTGATTGAAATAAAACAAAAGTTATTAAAGGGTTTATCTGGGATGAATAGTTTTGAGAACTATTGTTCTGTATAGTTCCCCCAACCTAAAAGTGTCCTGATTGTCACTTCGGCTGTATCATGTTAGGTTTTGAACTTCGAATGATTTTTTTTTCCCTTATGCATGCTCTTGGCATATCTTTCTGGTAGTTATATTAAAATAAGTCAACTGTTTTCAATATGATATTAAGACTAATAGCATATTAAAATTAAATTTTGTTCCAATTAGCCTCAAGTTGAAGTATTGTCAGAGGAAGAAGGGGAAGAAGAGGAAGAAGAAGAAGATATACTCTCTCTGGCAGAAGAAAAGTACAGACCCGCTGCCCTTGAAAAGATGATAGCTTTAGTTGCTCTTTTGGTTGAACAGTCTCGCTCAGAAAGGTGAAATGTTTCAACATTCAAAATGCTTACAGCGTGTTTGGTTTTATTCTTTATACATAATTGTTCTATCACTTCGGTTTTTATTACATAAATCTTTTTAAATAATAATATCACTTCAACTCTTGTGGCTCACGAATTTCAGTCCTTTCTATCTAACTCGTCTGAGTCGTGCTAGAAACAGCTATTGAAGAAATCTGTAGTAAAATATCTGGCAAAATTAAATGGACTTTGATTCTTTATCCCAGCACCTATACTCAAGGGATCTACCCCAAACAGAAAGATATATATGGAGAGGTATTTATTAAAATACCATTTCTAGTGTCAAAAAAATTGGAGACAGCTAAATGTTCATCAGAAGGGGACTAGTCATTGAACAAGAAATCCATTCAAGTCCACTATCGTTTTGTTTTTGTTTTTTCCTTAATGAAATGTGGAATTCATCTGTGTCACCATGTAGAAATTATTATACACAAATCCTCCCTTTTCCTCTGCTCCCTTCAAAAGACAAGGTAGGGAAGATTGTATATATTATGCTACACTTAGGAAAAGGGAAACTAAGAAAGCGAATGCATGTGTATATAGACAATCCTGATTCATGCATTTCCTATTTACAAAGGCAGATACTTGCTAAATTTTTCTATAATGCCAAAACTCAGTACTGTGAGGAGCTATCACAGTTATCCACTGACACACAGGTATTCAGAATGGTGAAAAATTGGAGTTTCCTGACACATGCTTTCCCAGCTGAGGTCAAACAAGGCAGTGATCTGCTGTCTTGTTTTGATTTTCATGTTGTAAACAAATGTACTTTTCATGATGTATGCCACATTTAAAAAATATTTGTGCTTTTCCTTTGGTTATGTCACTGTTTAAATGGTTCCCAAGAATAGTGCTGAAGTGCTGTTTAGTATTCCTGAGCATAAGGAAGGCTGTGATGTCCCTCAGTGGAAATGAATATAGTAAAGTTTCATTCAGGCATGAGTCCAGTATTGTTGGTTGTAAGTTTAATGTCAATTAACCAGTCATACATTTTAAATAAGGTGTCATTAAACAAAAACACCTGTAAATCATGGTACTGTATTGCTCTATTGATAACTTTGTGACAACATGTTCACAGGGGCCTAGTTCTTTGTTTTCATTCCATAGCAACGATGATTTGGTTTTTGGTAATTCATTGTTTGTACCTTCATAGAATGTGACTACTCAAATATCAAGAATTAGCTATAAATCAAATCATCGATCAATAATATGGTTTTGAGAGAAAACAAGATGGAGGGGCACAGAAATGGAAGGTTGACAAAACCATACCTTTTTGGTTTGTAGCTTTAGTTTTTGAATCCTGTAAATGTTCTGTATAAGTAAGTATATAAGAAGCGGTATTATAAATCAAAGGTGAAGGTGATCTAGCCACTGGAGAGGAATTAAAGAACATGTTAACTCTCAGTTTCTAACAGGATGTACACGAAAGACAAGAAGTAATTGCAAAATTATTTTAAGCTGTCTTAATTATGTTGTTGCTAATATAATTAGAATTATTCTGAAAGTATTTTGTGCTCAGGTTCTGAGCAAGAAATGAGTGAGAATCTTGGAATGTTTTTTATTTTAAGAAGCACAGAGACTAAATAGACTACTCTGGGGTCATGTTTAAAGAACTCAACAGTGTACTTTAGGAGTTTCTGTTGCTTTTATGCTGGACAAGGTACACATCAAAAGTAAAAATACCTGTGATGAAATGTAAAACACATCAAGATGTTTACATTGATAATCTCAGAATGATACAGTAAAAGAAAATTTGAAAAATGTGTTGGCAACTTTTGAAATATTACTGAGAAATCAAATCTTTACTTTGAAAACTGGAAAGGAAATGGTGTAAAGGATATGTTTCTCTTACCTGCAAGAAATAAAAGTTGATGTCAACTGATGGTGGATGAGGGCAAGTTCATCAATACAGAGCTGTCTCAACTAATAAATGAGCAAGGAGTGTTGGAATTAGAAAATCACTCTCTTGTGACACTAAGTGAAATAATGCTTCCAAGGTCATCACTGGTGGAAAATGTCATAAAGACTAACCTTCATTATGTGTCTCCCTGAGGAAAAGCCACATCACCATCTACAAAATACCCTTGATTACAAAGTGAAGCCTAGATCTGATCAAGTCTTTAGATCTGCATATCATTTTACAGGAGGAGAGGAATGTGATAAAACAACACCATCAGGATACAATTAGCAAAACATAAATATTGGAATCGCTACAGGACAAAGCTGCTTTCTTCAATGGATAAGTTGCAGTGAAGTGCCAAGGGAAACAAGTAGATTTAAAAATTTAAAGACATTAAAACCAATTGTAACAAAAGACTTTCATTCAGATCCAGATTGAAACAAATTAACTATAAAATATTTTTAGACACCTTAGGAAATTTGTACACTGATATTGTAAGATAGTAAGGATTTGTTGTTTTACTTCAGGCATGAATAATGGTATTATTGGTTATGCTTTTTTTTTTTAAATTTACCTGAGATATGTATTGAGATTTATGGATTAAATGCTAAAGTACCTGGAATTTGCCTCAAAATAATGCATATTGAATGGCTGTTGGTAAAAGTGAAACAGGATTGGCTAAGATTTGGGTAAATTTGAATTTGAGTGATGGGATACTTGCCACTATCCTATTTTTTTAACATCTGAATTTTTGTATAAGTTAAATGTATTAATTTTAAATTACATGGAAAAACAATATTTCTTAGAATTTCATTTTATTTTAAAGATTTATGTTAGAAAAACAGCTGTCAAAATAAAATTAGATCCATCCTAGCATTTTAATACAGTAATTCTATGGATTTAATGAAATGGAAATAAAGTAGTCTTGGTGTTCCATATTCCAATCTTGGAAAATTACCTGAGATGCTTAGCAAGCAAATCTAACCATCAAACACTTCCCTTCCCCCCAAAATTTATGATGGCAGGTTGATATGGTTATAATAGAATTGACAGGTTTCATGCATGTCATGCTGTTAATAGCTACAAAGTAGTACACATGGAAAAGATTTATTTCCACTAATATTTTCTTTTAGGCATTTGACATTATCACAGACTGACATGGCTGCATTAACAGGAGGAAAGGTAATACCTTGACTAATATTAAATAGTTTAATCATTCTAAAAATCATAATATGACAGTTCTTAAATGAATAATTTTTGTTTTTAACAGGGATTTCCCTTCTTATTTCAACATATTCGTGATGGCATCAATATAAGACAAACTTGTAATCTAATTTTTAGTCTGTGTCGATATAATAATCGACTTGCGGAACATGTAAGTACTAAAAGCAGTCTTCAACGTTTTTGATAATTTTTAAAAGAATATTCTGAAATCCTGCTTTTTCTGTTTCAGATTGTATCTATGCTTTTCACTTCAATAGCAAAGTTGACGCCTGAGGTATGTAAGAGTTTGCTAATAAGCATAATAACTGAACTAACAGTTAATTTTCTTTTTATTGTGAATATAGTTTTCCAACTAAATAAGAATTTATACATGTAAATTCAGTATATCTGAGTGCTACTTATATTCCAAGTTCAAAGTTGTTTGGCTTAAAGTGTATATCATAAAAAACTGTCCAAAATTCTGTATTTTTGGAGGAATATATGGATGGTAAAGTACAGAATCATGAATATTTTTATTAAACAGAAGCATTTAACAATCCCAGCACTCAGGAGGCAGAGGAAGGTGGATCTCTGTGACTTCAAGGCCAGTCTACTCTGTATAGTGATTTCCATGACAGCCAGAGCTACATAGAGAGACCCTCTCTCAAATTCTACCTCCCATTACCTGCCAACAGAAACAAGTCATTTTTCATAAAATTAGAAGTCTTTAGCTACTTTAGTCCATGTTTAAGAGCAATATAAGGGCTTTCTTTGGGGATCAGGAATTGCTACAGGTAGAAACATACTTATTTCATTGATAAAAATACATTGAAAATTAGACAGGAGAAGTGAATTCCAGTGATTACTTTTACAACCTTGAACTTAACAAATATCATACTGTGCACATGAAAAATGCTTTTGAGGATAGATTGCTGTTTTTACTGCAAAATAAGATAAATATGTGAGTTAACACATGTATTTAGCCATTACATAGAGTGTGTGTGTATGTATTTCAAAATATCACCTATACCATAACTATTTAATTGTTAGTTATAAATTTATAAACAAATTAAATCTTGAATTACTTTCTTGCTAAGTATATTTGACACCAGAGATAGCTATTCAATTGCCTCTATTTAATTGACTGTATCTTCTGACAGGACATTTTGTGGTAGTTTTAAGTTCATATTCAGGAGTGCTGACTAAGCTCTGCCAGCTCAGAAGAGCAGATTTAAATGAGACTAAAAGAGTAATTTGTGTCTTACAGGCAGCCAATCCTTTCTTTAAATTGTTGACCATGCTAATGGAATTTGCTGGTGGACCTCCAGGAATGCCTCCTTTTGCATCCTACATTCTGCAAAGGATATGGGAGGTAAGTTTTGAAGTACATGCTTCCAATCTTTTATTTTCCCAGAGATTTTCCTTTTGTTGTTGTTTTTTTTATTTTTTTTTCTTTTTTTAGAGTAATTTTCCTTAATGCAAAACAAAATATAGCAAAATTGAATGGAAGGTACAGATATTTTCCATCCAGCCTTGCCTTCATGGACTTTGCTTTTTTTATACTGTTACCACCATCTTCCATTTCTATTTCTAATTATTTGGATCAAATGACTTTACACAGTATGAAGTTGTTACTAAGAATAATCTTTCTCAAGAAAATTTCATAAAGCAGCTAGAAGCTCTAAAAACATAAACCAAATATTTTTAGCAATTGATACAGGCAGAAGAAATATCAAATACTACTTCTTTTCTGCCAGAGTCATTGCTGTCAGAACAGTTTTCTTGGTGAGGACTAGAAACCTTTAGGCCAGTGCTCAGTAAACCCTTTTTTTGGTCAAATGTTTAAGCTTTAATAGATTGCACATTTCTGTTAATAGTGTTCAACATGCTGTTGTGACCTAAAGGCCATTCATGAGGCAATAAATAGTAAGCTTAACAATGTTCAAATAAAATAACAGAAAAAAATAGCCATAGAATTTAGCCTATCTTACAGGGAGATTGCCATCCATTGCTCTAAATGGCTTCGTTTCCCATCCCTATGAAAAGAATCCCCATAGCAATTCAGTGAACTCTTTTGCGTTCTCATGTGATAGTAATAGTTTGGACATAGACTAAGAAAAAGAAGCAGATGAAAAAAAAATCCAGGATTTAGTTCATGCTGTGCCAGTATTCTACCACCAACCAAATATGTTTAAGAAAATAAACTCAGCAAGGTCATTGGATTCTTATACTTGTCCTGGGTTATTTTAAACTAGCAACAAATTTTCCTGAGCTTTTCCTGCACTTTGAGCATAGTAGGAAAACATGTTAAAACTTCTGTAAAAACTAGCTTAAAGAAAAAGAAAAAAAAAATTGGCCTAAAGAAATGGACCAGTAGTTAAGAGCATTTCTTGTTCTTGCAGAAGACCTAGGTTCAATTCCCACCAGCTACTTGGTGGCTCACAACCACTCATATAACTAGTTTGAGGGGATCTGAGACCCTCTTCTGTCTCCTCAGGAACAGGCACACATGGTGCACATATATGTACATAGTCAAGACACTTATACAAATAAAATCTAGAAAGAAAAAGTCAACTAAATACTTAGTGACATTTACCAAAAGAAAGCAAAAAATCAGGTGCTCATTCTATTATCTTATGTCCTGTTTTTGTTATTTCATTCATAGGTTATTGAATACAATCCTTCTCAGTGTCTGGACTGGTTGGCAGTGCAGACACCCCGAAATAAGCTGGCACACAGCTGGGTTCTTCAGAATATGGAAAATTGGGTCGAGCGATTTCTTTTGGCTCACAATTATCCTAGAGTCAGGACTTGTAAGTCAAATGTTTAAAATTTAGCCAATTATTTATTGTTCCAAACTTTAGGTTTGTTTTACTGTTTTTTTTTGTTTGTTTGTTTGTTTGTTTTTGGGTTTTTTTTTGTTCTATTTTTAGGTTTTTCTGGGGGGGGTGAAGGTAACTCAGTGATAATGCCCATTATTATGTAAAGCTCTGAGAGGTATCATAGAAGGCCAGTTTTATTTTATTTTGTTTTCTTAATATTTGAAAATCATGATGCTGTGTTTATCTATTGTATTTAAGTGTTACTGAAGAAAGTAAAATATAAGAAAATTCTTTCTTAAAAGCAACTCTTGATTCCAGGACAACCTACATACATACATAATGAGACCCTGTCTCTAAAAAACAAAGTAACTCTTGAATAGGCTAAATAAGATTAAAATGGAATTAGGACAGAAATCATGTATTTAATTATGAGAGTTAAGTAATAAACATCTTGTGTATAAGCCATTAGAGAATGAATAGCAATTCTTAGAAGATAGGTGGACATAGCACAAAGAAGACATTTTACAAGGCAGGAAATTGTTTTTTTGTTTTTCTTGTGTTTTGTTTGTTTTTTGAGACAAGGTTTCTCTGTGTAACTTTGGCTATCTTGGAACCTCATCTATAGACCTGGTTGGCCTTGAACTCAGAGATCTACCTGTCTCTGCCTCCCCTAATGTTGGGATTAAAGGTGTGCGCCGGTGTCATCCAGCAGGAAATTGATTGTTAATAATGTATTCACTTTCGCTGGTTCAAAGAAATGAAATCAATTAATTTTGGAAAATTTTTCAATGAAAAGCTGTTTCCCAGTTGAGAGGACTAGCGTCATTGATATACAGATCTGATATACATATGTTGTTTTCTAAACACCGTTCCCCAATAAAATACAGATTCGTGGCTCTGTAAAGAAAAGACCAATTTTAGCACGGATGATAATAAAGCCAAGCTGGTGCCTTAAAGATGAGTACAGTGCCTTAAGTGAGGAAATAATATGCTAAATAATGTGACCACACCAAAGAGACAGAACTCCTGAGTGAACTCCCAGTTGCTAAAACCACAACAATTTCAGTAACAAATAATTACAGTACTCTGTGTTCCTATCTGAAGTATAAAATGACATTTACAAACCCTGATTCCCAGCACTCATGTGGCAGCTCACAACCTCCTGTGACTCCAGTTCTGAGTGATTTGATACCCTCCTGTTGTCTCAGAGGCACCAGGATCCAACTGGTGCACAGACAGAAAGGCAAGCAACACACAGCTCAACAAATAAAGATAAACAAATCCATAAAAGAGAGTAGTGAATAATTTGTATATACTCTCCTTGGTAGTAGCTTAGTGATGTAGTAGAAATGAGTGTTAGAAGTAACCTGGTAGTGAGGGAATGTGGCTTCCAGGCAAATGGTCAGGGTTACTATCAAAAATTCCAGTTGAAGAGTTGTACTTCTGACGTGCTGCAGTCTGTGGTCTTCTTCCCAAACTCCTAACCCTGAGATAATCCGTCTTAAACACAACCTTGGTTTGAGAGGCACTATGTGAACTTCCTATTACTCATCAGAGCTATCAAAGTTATCAGGGACAAGAAGTCTGAGAAACTTACCAGAACCAAGAAGAGCTTAAGGGGATATGCTAGTTAAAATGTTGTGTGTCCAGACAGGATCTTGGAAGCAAACAAAAGCACCATTATGTCCTTAATCATACTAATTTAGCATAATAATAATAAATGTTAATAGTAGTAGAAACTTGGTGAGAGTTATATGGGAATTGTGTGTTCCTCCCGTGTGAAGTCAGAGGTTTATTTGAGAAAAAGGCCTTTCGGTGGAGGTTACCAGTGGATTGGCATTAGTACTCTGCCCAGAACTTTGCTTCTCCCCCTTTGATACTTTATTTACCCAAATGTTACACTGATGTTCATGATAGTACTGTGGAAATGAACTCTTCTACATGGTACTGATATTGTGATGTTAATATCACAAAAGGCCATACATAGCACTTTGTGCCACACCTTTGATCCCAGCACTCAGGAGGCAGAGGCAGATAGATCTCTGAGTTTGAGGTCAGCCTGGTCTACAGAGTGAGTTCCAGGGTAGCCAGAGCTGCACAGAGAAACCTTGTCTCCAAAAGAAAAAAAAGAAAAATTTCCCACAAAGATCCTTTAAGATAAGCACGTGTCTTCCCCTTTATAATGCCATTTTAGGACTTGTATGCAAGTCCTAAATACACATGTCCAGTGGCATTACTTTTACACCTGCTCAGTGAGCATCTTGACATGGTAGGATGCGCTTACAGTCCTGTAGCTTCAGGGATTGAGGCAGTGGAGCCCCTAGAAGACTTGCAAAGGACTTTGTAGCCAGCAGTGCCTTAAATCCCAGGACGTGACATACTGCAGCAGCTCCAGAAGATGAGGAGCAGCCTGCACTACACAACTCAACCCTCTGTCTCCCCAGAAAGTAGGAAGGGAATCTCAAGAGTTAGTGACGTACACAGACTAATATATTTTTAAGTATGTCATATGGCATTATCTTTAAATTATTACAAAGTAACTTACTAGGGTGTTTTTAAAGTAACACTTAATATCTAAAACATTAAATGATTCCATGTATAAAGACCTTTCATTCTAAATGTTGGCTTTTTTCTCCTTATTAAGTCATTATTAAGTCATTTTTCAGAAAAAAATAAATCATAACATAGGAGAATTCAGCGGTGGTGACAGCCTTTAATTCCAGCACTTGGGAGGCAGAGGCAGGTAAATCTTTGTGAGTTCGAGGTCAGCCTGTTCTACAGTGAGTTCAGGACAGCCAGGGCTACTTAGAGAAACCCTGTCTTGGGAAAGGCGAGAAAAAAAAGATATGAGAATTCTATATTGTGGAAGAACTGATTTGAAAACTAGTTCTGATAGCTAGTGCTTAGTAGATGAAGGAAAAGAGTCAAGAATTGAGGGTTAGCTTGAGTAGCATGAGAGTCCGTCTCCTAAAAAAAGAAAAACAGTTTTCGTAATGGTGATTATTGTTGCCACTTAAAATACAGCAGTGGCAGAATGGGGGGAAAGTTCTACCTCCGTACCCTGTGGGAATCTTTCTTCTGGACCAAAGGTAAATCAGAAGCATATTTAAAAGATGTCATGTCCCTTAATTTTTATTCATTTTTATTGATAAAGGGAAGAGTGGTTTTGTGTTTTAATAACTGCTCTTCAAGTCTACTTAAATCTTACAAGGATCTGACAGTTTTGTTTTACATTTTATAGCTGCAGCTTATCTTCTGGTGTCCCTTATACCAAGCAATTCATTCCGCCAGATGTTCCGGTCAACAAGGTCTTTGCACATCCCAACCCGTGACCTTCCACTCAGTCCAGACACAACAGTAGTCCTACATCAGGTCTACAACGTGCTACTTGGTTTGCTCTCAAGAGCCAAACTTTATGTTGATGCTGCTGTTCATGGCACTACAAAGCTAGTGCCCTATTTTAGCTTTATGACTTACTGTTTAATTTCCAAAACTGAGAAGCTGATGTTTTCCACATATTTCATGGATTTGTGGAACCTTTTCCAGCCTAAGCTTTCTGAGCCAGCAATAGCTACAAATCACAATAAACAGGCTTTGCTTTCATTTTGGTACAATGTGTGTGCTGACTGTCCAGAGAATATCCGCCTTATTGTTCAAAACCCAGTGGTAACCAAGAACATTGCCTTCAATTACATCCTTGCTGACCATGATGATCAGGATGTGGTGCTTTTTAACCGTGGGATGCTGCCTGCCTACTACGGCATTCTGAGGCTCTGCTGTGAGCAATCGCCTGCATTTACTCGACAACTGGCTTCTCACCAGAACATCCAATGGGCCTTTAAGAATCTTACACCACATGCCAGCCAGTACCCTGGAGTGAGTATAGTTAGTACTTTTATTATCTGTTGCCTGAGCTTGGTTAGCAGTATATTTTTCCCTCTTTAAGAAATGATATAATGCAGAATAGTCAAATCATTCACCTATATTGTCTTTCAGTGCTGGAAATTGAACCCAGGCTTCTGTTCATGCTAGGCACGTGCTTAGAACCTGAGCTACACTACTACCTTCCAACCTTTCTTTAAAATTTCATCTTATGTGTATGGGTGTTTTGTTTGTGTACCACATTCAAGCCTGGTGCCCACTGGGGCCAGAATCTCTTGTACTGTAGTTGTAGGAGGTTGCAAGCTGTCATGTGGGTGCTGGGAATCACCCACTCTGAGCCATCTATCCAACCCCATACTAACATCCTTAAAACCTTAACATTGTTTTCTTAAATGCTCTCATATAATGCAATGTAATTAATAAAACAAGTGATTATAATTTCTTATGCTGACGCTAAATTTTTGTTTACAATGGCACGTATCCTTTTAAATTTGTGATTTTATATTGTTTTGTTTTTAACTTTCGTTTGGCAATTCTGGGGAACAGGCCCAGGGCCTTGGCCATGCTAAGCAAATATTGCCAGCTCAAATTTATGCTTGTATATGCATCTTTAATGTGTGCCTACTGCAAAGGTCAGTATAGCTTTAGGGAATATTTCTTTGCATTTAGGCATTCAAGGACTAGAGACACAGCTCCACAGTCAAGAGTGGCTTTCCAGATCCTAACACGAGGCCGCTTGAAACTGCCTACAACTTCAGCTCCAGGGGAATATGACACCTCTGGCCTTCATGGGAACCTACATGCACATGCATGCAAAAAATGCATATACATAATTAAAAATAATAAAAATTAGGTATTCATTATCAAGATCTGCATACTTGGCTAAGGTGTGAGTTGCTCAGATTTTTTAGTAGTAGATTGCTATAGAGGTGTTTCTCCATATCTCAGATGGATGATTCATTAGCTCACATGTACATACGATTCCAACCTTATCTCCTTTTCTATTTGTAAGTTTCATATTATATTTTCCCTGTATGTAATATCATTTCACTTTTGTTCCGTCCTGTTGTTCCTTTATTAGGTTAAACTGTTCTTTGTCGATGGTATAGTGAGTTTAGAATCTCTAACCCAGAAAAAGTAGCATAATTTCCAATTTAGAATTAGATTGCTTTTAATGTAAGAGAGAAAATATGTTCATTCAGTACCAGAAAGTTCCAAGCTAAGGCTGGAAAATGAAGGAAATGCATGAGCGTGTCTGTCAGAGGCTGAAGAGATCATGTAGTATTTATTTTCAGTCACTTTGTTTTCCATCATAGTCCCATAAATAACCTTTAACTTAGTTACTGTGATACCCAGAGTTTCATAAGGCAGTGGTAAGAATTGGCTGAGTTAAGAATTGGCTGAGTTAAAATGCCCATCTCCTTGAGTTGGTTTCTGTTCCAGATGTCAGTCAGATGTAATCATCTTTTTTTTTTTTTTTAAGAGAACTTGGCTCTTAGAAATTTTTATGATAATTGTTTTCCCATATGAAGTTGAGTAATTTTCTTTCAAGGTCTGTGAAGAATTGTGTTGGGATTTTGATGGGAATTGCATTGGACCAAGATGCCTTGCTCAGCCTTGATGCAGGGGGCAGGGGTTTTCAGGGGTTTGGTCCTGCCTCAGCTTAATGTGCCTGGCTTTGTTGACTCCCCATAGGAGCCCCTACCCTTTAGGAGAAGTGGATGTGGGGTGGGTTGGGGGGGGGGGGAGTAAGAGGAGGGTGGGAAAAGGAACTATGGTATGTAAAATGAATTTTAAAAATTCTTTAAAAAATTAATAAATATTGTGTTGTAAAATTTTGTCAAGAAAAGTATCAAGCTACACAGTTTAGTTCATTAATAAATATGTTAGAAACTCAACTGTTACTTCACATTTATATAAATTCATAAAATCATAGCTAATAACTTCACTTTATTTCCATATTACGTTACTAACCATCAGTCTAGAATGATTATTTTAAATGTTGATACAAAGGCATGTCTCAGAAACAATATTAATTCAAGCTTGATGTAGGTGTTCAAAATCTTTAAAACAAAGCAAGTGAGATAGATACCTTTGAGGGTAAAGCCATTTGCCACCAAGCCTGATGAATGACTTCAGGGTGATCCCTGGGATCCACTTTGTGCAAGGAAAGGATTAACTTCTGAAAGGTGTCCTCTGACTTCCATTCATATTTGTTCCCCTCCCCCAAGATAAATAACATGTTTAAAAAAATCTGTCTAACAAATTAATGGTTTCTTATATATTAAAGGAATGGAACAGAGAGAGGATAAGTATAGACTTTTGCTACGTGACCTTTGAATTTAAAATGCTAGTGTTTTAAACAGCATTAAGACATATCTTTGTGAATGTTAACTTTAAGGATCATACAGGTGTGTCCATGTGTAGCTATATAACTCCATGATAGTCATAAATACTGCCTAGCACTAAGGAATGAACATGGCTAAAACATGAGGTTTTTATTTGAGTAATTTGATTGCATAGCTCACGGGTCTATCTGAGCCTCATAATAGCAAAGGTTAGACTTAACACATTATAGTATATTATGTATTCAAATTTTAAGTAGATTTCATTACTGACTTTACTAGTTTCTTTAGTTGTGTGATCAATCTATGATTTTAGTAGCTGGCTAATGAATATTGATTCAGAAATGAGGAACAGGTATTCTGAATATTGAAAGACTGAGAGATCATTTTGCATATTTGTCTCTTTTAGGCTGTGGAAGAACTGTTTAACTTAATGCAGCTATTTATAGCTCAGAGGCCAGACATGCGAGAAGAGGAAATAGAAGATATTAAGCAGTTTAAGAAAACAACTATAAGCTGTTATTTACGTTGCTTAGATGGTCGCTCTTGTTGGACTACTTTAATAAGGTAAAAAAGATAATTTGTAATTTTTTTTGGTTGGTTCTTGATTGGTTTCCCAAATAAGAACATGGTACATTTTGACATGAAAAGAGAAATAATTTTTAGTATTTATAATTAAAAGCTTGTTCTTTTAAAATAATAATTATTATTTTATAAATATAGAGTCTGATGTCGCCTAAATTGGCCTTTTACTTGCTTACACCTTGTACCTAAGGATGACCATGAACTTCTGATCCTCAGACCTCTACCTCCCAAATTCTGGGATTACAGATATATATCCCACTATTCCATGTTAATGCAGTTTTGAGATCAAACCCAGGGCCCCTCATGAATGTTAGCAAGCCCTCTACCAGCTGAACTACATAGACCATAGAAACCCTATTCCTCCCAATTTAGAAATTCTTCGAGGTTATTGGTAAAACATTTCTGTACTTAGGAACAATGTTTTTTTTCCTTTGGTTCATAGTATATTTTCCTATCTTTTATTAGAATCAGATCTGACAGTTTAAAGGGACCTTAATGTTTGAAGGTCATGTTTATGATCATGCATCAGACTACTTGGGTGGTTCCAGTCTAGAGACCCCTGGAAACAGCTTTTACATCTCAAGATGAGTCTGACTGTTAATATCTCTTCCATTTTTCTTGAATCCATTTGGCTTTCTTATCTTTAGGAATTAGCAAAAATAATAGAACCATCTATGTAATAAATTGTTCTGAGCTGTAGGACTGAATGATTTAGAAAAGAACTGCAAATTACATTTTATTTCCTTTACCTCTATATAGAAATAAAATTCTGCTCAATGTATCACAATGCTGAGAAGGAATGGAGAAATATGGGGGACTGGTTGAGGTCCTTCGCATAATTTTGTCTGTGTTTTCATGAAGTCTACACTATAACATTAAACTAATGAACCCAAGAGAAAATTCTTTTAGGTTATTTCCTTCAGAAAGCTTTTGTATTTGAATCTTTAGTAGTCTACAAAATGAAATAAATCTTCAGTAGTCTACAATTTTTTGCCCTGAAACCTGTTAAAAGGAAATGTTTGGCATTCAGTTTGAATACATTGTTTCCTAAAGGTTATTTATTTATTTATTTTTTTAAGTGTTAGAGTTTTGCTGCTTGTTGAGTAAAGAAAGGAAGCTTTCACTGGAAGTAAAGGATTTTTAGTTGTATCTTTAATAGCACTTTGCCAGTTCTGAGCACAGCATTAACTCAGATAAACCTATCCTTAGGATTTTCAAGTTTGTCCCCTTCATAGTACCCTTTCTTCCCCAAGCTGATGAATGCTTTTGGAATGTAGAATAGTTTACTACTATAAGAACTTAAGAGATGGAAAGATAAACTCATTGTTTCACTTTGTTTTTATGTGCATTAGTGTTTTGCCATTGGGTTTCAGGTTCCTTGGAACTGGAGTTAGAGAAAGTTGTAAGTTGCCATGTGGGTGCTCTCAAAGAGCAGTCAGTATTCTTTAACCACTGAGCCATTGCACCAGCCCAAACTCATTTAAAAACAAAACAAGACAGCATTGTTATACTGAAATTTAAAAGTACTCTCATCATACCGTCCTCTTACCATTGTGGATGAAGAATTGATTAGACATTGGTAGACATGTTTTTCTTTAAATTACAATGCAAAATATTTTATTTCCCTTTTCAAGTTGAATGTCCCTTCCCTTAGTATGTCCAGAGTACTTAGAAATAGAAATGTTTCTGATTTCAGAGGATTTTTTTTTAACTTTGGATAATTTGCATCAAAGTTACCAGCTGAGCATCCATAATCCAAAAATCTAAGATGTCCCACAACTGAGTAACAACTGATGGATTAATAATCTTGAGATTTGAGAGTGTTCTAGATTTCAGATACAGGCTGCTCATTCCATTGTGCACTACTCAGAAAGAGTGCACATGCTTGAAATTCCACTTAGTGAAGTCAAGGCAGGAGGATTGCACAAACTGGAAGCTAGTCCAAGCTATATAACAAAATCTCTTAAAAATTAAAAAACAAGGGTCTGTGGAGAGGTGGCTCAGTGGTTAGGAACATTGGCTGTCCTTCCAGAGGACCTGGGTTCAATTCCCAGCACCCACATGGCAGTGCACAACTCTGTAACTCTAGTTTCTAGGGAATCCAGAATCCTCCTGCAGGCATACATGCAGGCAAAACACCAGTGCACATAAAATAAAAATAAATTATTCTTCAAAAAGTTAAAAAAACAGCAACAGATGTAGCCAGTTTCTTATATATGATAGGAAAACCAGAAGCTTAAGCCATTTTTACTCCTGTTTTTCATCACCAGATTGTTCTGTTCTTTTCTAATTGGACTGTTTCTATTTCTCTAGTGCCTTCAGAATACTATTAGAGTCTGATGAAGACAGACTTCTTGTGGTATTTAATCGAGGGTTAATCCTGATGACTGAGGTAAGTATATAACATTGCCTTTTATTGTGACTGTATCTCATTTGAATACTCTTTCCAAGACTTCTTACTGCATATATATAAAGAATGCCTGCTGAACCGTTTCCCAGGTGGCAGGACTTTATTTACATAGATTACGCCTCATTTTGTATTTAGGTTTATTTGAAATAGACTAGTTTTATTTGTTTCACTTAGTACATAAAAATGAAAATCATGTGATTTGTAATCAAGGTTATACATTATTTCCCAAAAGTGTTCTTATTTGGCAGAACCAAAACAGAAGGCCGAGAGATTTGCCCAGGACTGAAATTTGCATGACATTTTTCATGGTTCTTAGTTCCCAAGTGGGAGATGGTTTAAAGTCACCAGAGTCCATCATACTTTTTGGTCTAAGCTGTAGATAACATTATACAGCTAGAAAGTACTGCACAAGGGCTGGAGAGATGGCTCAGAATTAAGAGCATTGCCTGTTCTTCCAAAGGTCCTGAGTTCAATTCCCAGCAACCACATGATGGCTCACAACCATCTGTAATGAGGTCTGGTGCCCTCTTCTGGCCTGCAGGCATACACATAGACAGAATATTGTATACTAAATAAATAAATAAATAAATAAATAAATAAATATTTTTTTAAAGGAAAGTATTGCACAAATTATGTAGTATTGATGTTTTAATTGAAAGTATTATAGAGTAGGAACAGAATAAGAAACTATACTTTGAAGCATTTGGACTAGGCAAGAAATGAGTGGTAAAATATTCAAATAAATGACTTCCTGAGCTCAAAGGCAAGAAAGTTTTGACTCTGTTTGAGGACTGACATGTCTGCTCCGTGCTAAGTATTGCACTAGGCAAAGGATTATAGCAAGAGAGATGCAGTTCCTGTCCTGTCAGTTTACAGGTTAAATATATTTGATACAGCCTTCATATTCAGCCACAGAACCTAGGCTCAGAATTTTGAACTGTGAATTAGTATGAATTCTAATAAACTGACTTGGAGCCCAGTGCACACCTTTAATCCCAGCACTAGGGAGGCAGAGGCAGAGGCAGGAGGATCTCTGTGAGTTTGGGGCTAGCCTGGTCTACAAAGTGAATTCCAGAACAGCCAGATCTGTTACACAGAGAAACCACGTCCCAAAAAGCCTAAATAAATAGATAAATAGGTAGGTGTTAGATAGATAGATGATAAATAAATAGGTAGGTGTTAGATAGATAGACAGATAGATAGATAGATAGATAGATAGATAGATAGATAGATAGATAGATAGATAGATAGGTGTTAGATAAATAGATAGATTGATAGATCAAACACACAGCCGACATAAGAATCAATAAACATGCACACGTGCTTGCACCTACACATACACAGTAGCTAAAAGGGGCAATTTGATTTAGAAAACAAGTAATACCTGCTGTGTACACACCTGTACACACATAGTCCAAGTCTGGAAATACCTTTAGAAGATAAGCATTTCCGTTTTGTGTCTAAAGTAGAAATGAATTTAAGGGATTCTGAATTTTTATTTCCTAAATCACTTGTAGTCTTTCAACACGCTGCACATGATGTATCATGAAGCTACAGCTTGCCATGTGACTGGAGACTTAGTAGAACTTCTGTCAATATTTCTCTCCGTTTTGAAGTCTACACGCCCATATCTTCAGAGAAAAGGTTTGGTTGGTTTACTTTTTATTTTTGTTATTATTTTGCTGCCAAAACAATTTTTTTTGGTTTTTGTTTGTCTTACTAGTTTCTGTATGGATGGTTCCTGAGCTAGCTAATATTGGGCAATGTTTATCATGCCCTCATAATGTAAAGGTGGGATATTCTTATTTGCTTATATACTTAATTATGCTAGTAAACAATAGGTAAGTGTCCTGTAAGAGTCATGATTTGGTCAGGTGGTGGTGGCGCATGCCTGTAATCCCAACACTTTTTAGACAGGCTCCAAAGCTACTGAGAAACCCTGTCTCCAAATAAGTAAACAAACAAATAAATAAAAGATTCAAAATTTGGAGCTGTGGAAAGCTTCCACACAGTAATAAGCTGATTTTTTTTAAACCTACATCGCTCCGATTTGGTCGTTTTTATTTGTTGGTTTTTATTTTATTTTATTTTATTTTATTTTAT